GGCAAAGCAGGCAGGCAGATTGAGTTGCTCACAGAATCACAGATTCATTCACATTTCTGCCATTGACTACCTAAGTCTGCACTGAATAATAGAAGCTTCAGTGCTAGGGAAGGTTTGGCTCTGCTTAAAAGCTTAAAAGCAGAGCCAAAGATCTAAAGATTAGCTAGAAAGCAAGAAATCCAATGGTTTCCTGCTTTCCAGATAATCGAAATCTCCTGGCATAGCAGAACTGCTGATGGTCAGAAAAAAAAGAAGGAAAAATAGCAACTTAGCCGGCAAATTTGCCAGGTAAGGAGTCAGTGGGCGGGGAGGGTTCCCACAGGCCATGTGGATGGCACAGCCTTGTGTTCCCACACAGCCTGGATTAATTGCTTTGGGGGGTGCTCTGGGGGTGACATTTCTCTGCAGACCACCAAAATTTTCTCACGGACCACCAGTGTCCCCGGGCCCACTGGTTGGCAACCACTGTTATAGGTAGTCCTCAACTTACAACAATTTGTTCAGTGACCAAAGTTACAATGGCACCGAAAGAAGCAATTTATGACCATTTTCCACATTTACGACTGCTGCAGCATCCCAGTGGTCATGTGATCAAAATTCAGACACCTGGCAACTGACTCGTATTTACGATGGTCGCAGTATCCTGGGGTCAACGTGATCCCCTTTTGCGACCTTCTGACAAGCAAAGTCAATGGGGGAAGCCAGATTCGCTTAACAACCATGTTCTTCACTTAACAACTGCAGTATTCACTTAACAACCACGGAATGACTGTCACACTCAATGACAGAAACGTTGGGGTCAATTGGGGTCAAAATTTGAGGATTATCTGTATTCAGCTCTGCCTCCAACCTTTCCAATTTACCCCCTGTGCCAGCCTATTGGCTTTTCCTTCACAATGAATTGGTAACCTAATCCTGCGTAGCTTTTTCTCTGGTAATATTGTACTACTAACTAGAGCATACAAAACATTTGCTAGGCCAATTCTCGAATACAGCTCATCTGTCTGGAACCCACATTGCATATTGGACATTAACACAATCAAGAGAGTCCAGACAGTGGTGGGATTCAAATATTGTTGCCACTGGTTCGGTGGGGGTGGCTTAGTGGGCACGCTTTGCATGCGTGTACATACTTTGCATGCATGTGTGCACCAAACATGCCCTTTGTGCAGGTGCAGAGGCATTCTAACTTACCTCCTGCAAACCTGCACGATCCCAGTCACTTCAGCAGCTGCCGCGCACCACTCTTCTGTGCCGTGCCAAGCAGCTTTGCTTCAAATTCAGCAGATAAAAGTGAGTATGGGAGCCCAGGCGGGCGGGTGGGCCCAACAGCAGAGAGGAGGAGAGAATCAGTTCGGTCTCCGCTGCTCATCGCTCCTACCGGCTCGCCAGAACTGGGCCGAACCGGTTGAATACCACCACCGAGTCCAGAGACATTCCACTCCTCTGTTCACAATAGAATACCTTATGCCTCCAGACTTGAAATTTTAGGCTTAGACAACTTAGAACTATGCCACCTTTGGTCCAACCTAAGCGTAGTACATAAAATTATCCATTGCAATGTCCTACCCGTCAATGACTACTTCAACTTCAACCACAACAATACACGAGCACACAATAGATATGTTCTGACCAAGGCATTCTGAGACTGTAATTAAGTACACGCTTAATCCAAACAATTCTTATTTTATTTCAATGCTGGGAATTATGTTCATTCCCAGCCCATAATGAGTCGCAAACAGTTTCTCAAGATAAACACCCACCTTTATCTCCTTTCAATTGCTTCCAACAATTAGAGTGCCAAATTAACTGTAAAAACCAACCGAAGTACAAAGTCCACACAGAGCTTCAATGTTTAATCTGAACAGAGTAAACAACTTTGCTTCCTGCAAAGGTTTCTTCACCTTTGCCTGTCCTTTATGTCTTACGGCAGGGCCAATCACCTCCCAGTCTTACTCCCAAGTCTCCCCTTTTGTTTCAGCTGCTCTCGCCTTCTAGCAGCTCTGCGCACACACACACACTGGGAACAGGTTCCCCTTGTTCCTCGGTCTCACTGCTGCCAGATACTGGAGGCTCCAAAGGCAGTACCCCACTCCCAGATGGTCCTGGCCCCATCTCTGCATCGGACTCAGGACCCTTGTTTGCATCCTCCCTAGACTCCCGGACTCTTCCCTGTTCTTCCCCACTGTCCGATTCCACTGCCGTCTGCACAGGCTGCTGGCGAACCACAACAAGATCCAAACCCAAGGTAACCCACACCAAACTCGATTTCAGGAAATACGACTTCAGCAACAGAGTGGTCAACACCTGGAATGCACTACCTGACTGTGGTTTCTTCCCACAAACCCCAAAAACTTTAACCTTAAGACTATCTACTGTTGATCTCACCCCTTTCCTAAGAGGTCTGTAAGGGGGTGTGCATAAGTGCACCAACGTGCCTACCATCCCTGTCCTAATGTCTCCCTTTTATTCTTATCCATTTCATGTATTCATAATCAGGTTTATACTTATAACTGTTATCTAATACATGCTCAACAAAATAAATAAATAAAAAATCTCCACCATCAATTCCAACATGGCCAGCCTTGCCCTCCCCCTTGGTAAGCCAAAGATGGAGAAGATGCTACCTTACCTGGGAGGCCTGGTATCCTTCAAGGGCCTTTCCAGAGGCAAGCGATCACTCAGGTAAACATTGTACCCATACTTATCGAAAAGTTTCTGGGCTACAATTTGCTGGTCCTCCATTAAACCTTTGCCCCATATCTGGAACAGAGGGGAATCTGGGAACTGCATTCTGGGAGGCACCTCAGGTTCCCTCCGGTTTTCCTTGCCCTGTTGGTCTTCCTGTATTTCCTGGTGTGGCTTCTTGGGCAATTTCTGTTCATTCGCTGCCTTCTTTTTTTCCTCTGATAATTTTATGTAATTGGCTGAAAAACACAAACAGGCAATAGGCATAAAATTAGGGGTGGGATTCTACCAGTTTGCATCAATTCGCTAGAACCGGTTGTTAACATTCTAAGCAGTTCGGAGAACCGGTTGTTAGAAGAAATTACTGGCCTAATCCTGTAAGGAAGGCAGGAAGGAAACATTCTGGTGTCGCTTACAGAAACTGCCTCTCCGTTAAACCTTATTACATTCTTGGCAGGACTAGACTTCCTGTCTCAGGAACGTCTCTGAAGTTTTTTCCCCTCCTTTGCTGGTACTTTGCTTGTGTGGTGTAACCATTCAGAGTTACAATGGCACTGAAAAAAGTGACTTATGACCATTTTTCACACTTACGACTGTTGCAGCATCCCAAAGTCATGAGAGGCCAGGCGAAGAGATACGTGCCTCAATGTGAGTGATATTGAGTTGGCCACACACCCAGCCAATAACATGACTACCAAGCCATGTCCACCCAGTCACATGACCACCAAGCCATGCCCACCA